ATATATGTTCTAATGTTTCTTTTTCTATTTCTATAAACTTCGCCATTTTTTAATGTTTCATTCGTTTTCTTTCAGACTGATGAGACGAGAGAGGTTTGTCATATGTTGTATACAGCATGGCCAGATTACGGTGTTCCTCAGTCGGCTAAAGCTTTACTGCAGTTCTTATCTTTAGTCAGACAACAACAGAGCAAATTACTCGCTAGCAGAGGAGACACATGGGCCGGACATCCTCGAGGACCACCCATAGTTGTACATTGCAGCGCTGGCATCGGAAGAACAGGTAGATAGATTTTTTTTGCAAACAAAATTCTAATGGTCATTGCTCTTCCTCGGAATATAAAAGTTTAGGTGTGAGATATACATCAAGTTGGCACGTTTTTAGGTACATTTTGCACGTTGGATATTTGCATATCGCGACTGGAGGACACCGGAACCGTGGACATACGAGGAACTGTTGAAAAGATTAGAGCACAAAGGGCCTACAGTATTCAAATGCCAGATCAGTACGTCTTTTGCCATCGTGCTTTGGCGGAATATGCGCTTTCCAAAGGAATGCTCAGTGCGCAGCATCTCTCTCTGTTACCTCCACCGATTGAAGATGATTCTGATTAAGAGAGTAATGAGCTCTGCTATCATATACCGGATTGATGTTCTTCCCAAGTATGCGTATATCTACATATACTATCCTTAAAATAGCCTATTTCTACCTTAAATGACTGAAAGTTATTTTTTGCTATTGTATTCATCGATGTAACGATTGAACTTTTCGCTATCATGTCAGTCTCAAATTTCCTATGAAGCTGTTCCGAGATTTTTTCCAAATTCCAAATAAATGAACGAGAAATATTTTACATTCTTGTTCCTCGTGCTCTGGCGAATGTGAAAGTGCATCAAAAAGCACTGATCAAAGATAAATATTTTACTAATATAAGAATCTGATTAACATTTTTATGGTTCTTATTTTTAACTCTCTCATGTAAATTATGATTTAAATTTTGAAAAATTTAAGCTATAGAATAGAAATTTCTAATTGGAAATTTATAATTGCGATGTACCCAAATATTTTAATACATCCATGATTTAATGATTAATTGATTATAATTATCTATTTCTGCAATGACTGTGCCGAAGTATACATATGAAGGAAGGAGAAGATAATAAATAATTTGAGAGAGTTAAATTGTCGATTTTGCTAAAAAGAGAGAATAATTCGATATATATAAAACTTTGAAAATATATGAAAAATATATAAATGTGATTATATATTATATAGTTCACAAATTATTACAAATGCGGGGGAATGAAAGAGGGGATTGTGGACACTATGTACACAATTATTTAAGATTTTGAGATTTAGAAGTATTATAACGTACGATAAAACGGCTTCTGCCTTACGGAAATGTAGATTATTCTAGAAAGTGATCGACATATTGATAGATGTTTTTGGGTAACCAAAGATTATCTGCTGCACAAATTTAGAGAGAATCGAAATTTTTAAATATACGTAAAGTTTGGTTATATACACAGTCGCGCGGGAAAAATTCCGTTTTACAGGGATTAATAATCAGGGATCATATTGTAGATTAAATAATTTCCGACGCAATTAAAAATGACAAAGCCTAAAAGTGCAAGGCTTTAAAAATTAAATTAGCCATTATGTTAGTCGAGTAAACTTCGAGTTCATCTGACAAAGCCTAAAAGTGCAAGGCTTTAAAAATTAAATTAGCCATTAGTCGAGTAAACTTCGAGTTCGTCTGATAACTATACGTATATATATTTATATACATGCATGTATATATATGTGTATATACACATGTATATATTATGTGTATGTATGTATATGTTATGTATATGTATAAAAGTACACATACATAAATCATGATTAAAAATCATAAATCGTATATACTTGCAAGTATCGAACGTTTCAAAACACTTTGAAATCTAAGTATAATCTAAAATCTTAATTAACACACGATAACTGTAAATTTTACCTTCAACGGATAATATACAACATAATATTAATTAAAATGCAACTGGCGGAATATGGAAAAAGAATTTAAACGTTATATGTTTTAGATGATATGGAAACTTACGTAATTTAAATATAAATTGATTTTATATGTAAACTGCGAAATGATTATTCTTCGGATATAAAGATCCTTCCGAAGTCTTATAGAATGTGTATGTCAGGTATGATATTTACCTTGATGAAATCATGAAGAAATCAAAGATGTTTTGAATACTTTTTCAATAGTTTTCAAAATCTCTTAATTGCTTTTAGATTCTTTTATCGTTGAGAACTGTAAGTGTGTACGTGTAACTTTGAATGTACGTTACAACGTTGTGTCCGATTTGTCTTACTTGTATTCAATAAGTACTCGAATTGTTTATCCGTTGAATGTGTACCGAGACCTCTGCAAGAAAATTGCGACGTATATGATAAATCTTCTTGCACTGGTCGTTCGATGTTTGATGAATTACGAATTCTATCGTGGACTATTATGATATTCGTATTGTAAAGCATTGTGATAGTCGATAGAAGTCTCCGAAAATTCGTATCTATTCTTCCAAGTACTGCCATTGCCAACTATGCTAATTTCTATTTTTAATCACGCTGAGCTAAATTTTTCGCGGCATAATCACGATACGGCCAGACCGTGTATGTATATATATATACATGTACACACTAACTGATTTGTAATAATTTATTAATATTGAGTTAAGACACAGGTATATATGTAATGACGTAACATCGGTATGAGATGAAGAGCGATGAATATGTGTAGGATGCAGAACCCCTTTGTCGGGGGTTTTTCTATTTTACGTACAAAGTATTCGGAAATTGAGAGTTAATGTGTTGCAGTAGAAAAATATTTATGGAAAACTATATCGTGAGCATTCGCATTATTTAGTTCTTCAAATTGAAATTCAATCATATGTATTTCGTTGAACTAATTTCTGAATACTCTGTTCGATTTTATAGTTTCACGCAGAGCGTCGTAAAATTTTATTTCGGTAGAACGAGCGAACTGTTAAAGATGTCTTCGAATTTTATACGAATCATACGCGCTGTTGTACCGCAGGAAAGCTTAGTCACGTTTAAATAAGTTATTGATACTTGAACGTAATATTTATAAGTTCCTCCTACCCTTAGGTTACCTACAAAGAGCATATTATCGATATTGATTATCGTTTATTATATTATTACGTTTACGTAATCTATTATCGTAATCAATACTTTTTTAATTTATCCTATTTATTGTATCAATTGGTTTAAATTTTTATATGTGATGTATACGCACATATATATTGTGTATTTCTTAATTTTCACTCTTAACAATGATGTCCGTTCAGCGTTTTTTCTTTTATCTCTCCTTGTTCGATATCTTTTGAGCGTAACACGAGAAATGAAAATCTAATTTAGCATTTCACCGTTTTGATTAAATATGAATGTACAACGATGTTTTTCCTTATATAGCTACTTTTACGTATGCCTCCCTCGTATAATGTGTTAATAATAAATCAAGCACCTGTACGTCGATGAAAATTGTTAGAATGGGTACCAAAGTTCTCATAAGACTCGCAGACGAAATCATTGATTGCCAATAATGCATAATTGTACTTTACGCAAACGCACTCGAGTGCATATATTAAGTTTCGAAACTGAGGGTAGGTAGTTTAAAATAATCAACTCAGCAGTATTATACCTCATTAAATGTTTGCAATGTTTTTTTTCTCGCCAAATCAATTTTCCTCGCCAATGTAATCGAGTCGGATATTTGGGATTTATCGTCCATCTTTGAATATGTACAAATAAATGATTGAACGTAAATAATGATGATGTAACATAAATGACTGATCGTCGTGATGAAATTTAAACGAAACAAATTTACCGAAGGTAGAAAAATATAAGAGAGGTCGTATTCCAAGCGTATGCAACTGATGTACAAAATGGACTGCAACTCTCAAACTTTCGATATGTTCTCATTCCTTTAACACGTTTTAAGTTGCGAATTTGTATTATTGTTAGTATCTCTTGCGACTCGTTTCGACTATTTGCATCTGTAATGTATTCGCTGTTTATAGATTTGGAGATTTATCATCGATATTACACGTCTCTATATCGAGATATTGATGAAAAAGATTGACATAATCGATTAATTATTTAACGCGATAAACGCCCCTTTTTGTAGTGGCTATTAATACGAAATTCAACAAATGATACACAAAGCGAAAAGAGCTGCAATGGGGAAAGCTAATGTTTTATGTGTATATCTGGTGTAAGCAACACGTGTCATAATAATTAAGACCCTCATCAATGAAATGAAAAGAAAAGATTGTTAAAATATTGCGAAAATGGAGAAAGTAATGCAGCGAAGAAAAGAAAAAATGTATATAAAAATAATAACATGACTTTAAAATTATTATCCGCGCACACATATGATTGTATCTAATTAATAATTATTTAATATATTGCAAATATAAATGGAACAAATCTAGTGTTTTTTTATATTTTACACACACACACACACACATTCTCTCTCTCTCTCTCTCTCTCTCTCTCTGTGTGTGTGTGTGTGTGTGTGTGTGTAATAAGTTTTATTACATATAATATATATTCTGAGAGAGAGAAAAAGAGAGAATTGTTTTTATTCTCAATTAAAATGCCGCAGTGCGCATGCTCGTGTCATTGGATTTTATTGATACGACAGATTTCCTAACCCTTAAGAAGTGTCAACTTTCGTAATTATCTTCTCATTGCAGAGAAATAATTTTTTCTTTTTAAATATTTGTTTTTAGGCGCAATGAAATCACATAAGGTTATTATTAATTTTAACATGAGACTTTTAAAATAATTTATCCATAAAAATTTGTCTTACAAAAATTTTTCTTGTTTTGTTGTATTCAGTCAGAAATTATAATTTAAAAGAATGCCGACATGTAGTGTAAAGGGTTGTAAAAGCAAGCATGGACCAGGAAATATACATTTTTTCAGGTACGTATAACGAATACATTTTCTATTATAAATATTTAGTTATAAAGACAAAAGGTTAAGTTAAACGTTTCAATTTGTAATTTCCATTGTAAACGGTTCATAAAATTGTATTAATATAATAAACATTTTTTGTGAATAGAGATTATTTTTGTTTGAAAAAATATTTTATGTAAATATCATAGGTTTCCTCTAAACGATAAAAGTCATCTGGACAAATGGATTGCAGCTGTTAAAAGACCAGATTGGAAACCGAATAAAGACAGCAGAATTTGTAGCTTGCATTTTAAAGACAATGACATTATTCAAGGCATGGGATATCAACGTCGTTACTTACGTAAAAATGCAATACCAAAAAATTGCTCTTTAATCATTGCAGGAAAAGAACAGAATGATATCACATTGTTAATGTCAAAAAAAACGTACGGTACTACAAACATGAGTAGATCTATAAGCTCTAGTGAAATTCGTATCTCGAATGACAGAATTAAATGGGATCACACCTATGCAAAGATTATTGCTAACGTGTTAATAAATGATGGACCAAATATATTTGATATTCGAAGTCTAAATGAATCAGTTCAAAGTGCAATTCCTCACCTAAATAAAACACACAAATGTACTCAAACTGATTCAGAAAATATCATTGTGCCTGTTTCATACAGTTCAACTAATTTCAACTTTGAAAAAAAATTAGATTTTGTTAATGCTTTAAAAACAATAAAGAAATTATCAGAAAATATAAAAAATATAAAAAGAAAGAATAAAACATTACAACAGAAATTGAGAAGACAAAACAAAAGAATTATTTCAATGAAAGAAATACTTCAACGATTACAATACAAATAATTGATTTTGAATGACTATGCAATTAATGAAAAAATTTGAAGATATAGATTTTTCAAAATAAAATTACAAAACAAAGATTGAAAAAAGTAAAGGTTAGCATTAAATAGACGAAGTAAATAAAATTCGCTATTTTTAATAAAAAAAATTTAATTTATTTAATTTGTCATAATGTTACTATTACTATATATATTTTTTCGAATGCATATGCTATTTTAAAATGCAATAAATTATAATTTAAATAAAATAATATACAACCAAATATATTTTAAATGGTTACATGTTGTATTACATGATATTATTAAAAATAAGAAAGCGATCTATTTCATTTAGGCAATACAAATATGAGAAATTTATTAATTATTGACATAGAATTTTATTTTCATATTAAGATTTTTTTTATAGTTGAGTACCTTTGCTGGACAAAAGATATTGCAATCTCGTGTTTGAACATATGACACTTCGTAAACAATTAAATAGGAGTCTTATAAATATAATAAAGGCACATACAGCTAGGCACATTTAATCGTGAAACTAGGTCACTCAGAAAGAATGAATTAATTTTCCGAAGACAAGGTTGCATATTTTTTGATAACAGTTTCTTATCGATTTGTCTCATTGTAAGTAAATATTGTTTGTAAATAAATAAATATTTTGTAAATATTTGTTTTTTGTACAATATAAAAATAAATAGATATATATAATTTTTTACAGTATAACGACATGATATTTAAAACAACAATAATAAATTATTAAATATTAAACAATTATTATTTAAACTTTAAAATAATACAAAAGTAAATTTAAATTTACTACATTATATATAATGACAAAAAGGAATACTATATATGATTATGCTTGTAGGGCATTTACATTCCTTTATTCATTCCTAGATTTCTAAATATTAACATGGCGGAATAGTCACGTGACTGGCATTCAGAAATCAAAGGTACTGACATGGAGTGCACGTACTGGTCGTATTATGGTTTAAGCTCTGAGGATATTAATCTTAACCTGTCTTAACCTACGTAGAGAAAAGTTAAACATGTCACATCGCGACACCGACAACAACAGTATGCACAACTTGTTGGACGAAAAGATTATCGATTTAGAAAATTGTAGAAAATTAGTTAAATCATACATCGATTTGGTAAGCTTTGTGAAAATAAAAAAATTGTATATCATAACATAAACATAAAATATTTTATATTTATTTACTTTTAGCACCTATACAGTGCTGCCTTGTTCTGGGCTGACAAAGTAGTATCATTAAGCAATGAAGATCCCAAAGATGTTTGCACTCTGGCACAGTGTATGTATCTTATGAAACAATATCATCGTGCTGCGCATCTCATAAAGAGATATGGATTAGAGAAGGTAAAATTTTAAGAAGTATTGGTACCTCTCAGAAATATGATAGACAGAGTATATCTTGTTTTATGTAAAATATATTTAATCATCTATAATGAATTAACATCTTATTAATACAGAGCGATGTAATGTGCCATTATTTAACTGTAAGATGTCTTCTGGAAGCAAAAGAGTACAATGATGCACTTCAAGTTATTAACGAATCTGAAATATGCACAAACATAACACAAGCAGGTATTACCTTTGCAGATCGTACAGACATTTTTCAGGATGCTCCAAAAAATGTACGAGTACATTTTACTTATTTGTATATATGTGTATATATATATATTTTTTTTTTACAATACTATATATTAATTTATATTATAATACCATTTTAATCATTTACATACATTTATAGTAAATCATGAGACATGCATGATCTACTGCATTTTTTTTATAGGTTCAAAGTTCGATATTATATGTAAAAGGAAAAGTGTACGAAGCAATGGATAATAGAGCAGTAGCAACAGAATGTTACAAGCAAGCTTTACAGTGTGATGTTTATTCATATGAAGCATTCGAAGCTTTGGTGCAAAATCAGATGCTTTCAGCATCCGAAGGTAATATATTAATTCCACTAAATACAATATAATATAAATTTCTTGAGTAAATTGTTCTATCTATATGATAACAATTGTTACTTTAGAGCGGGAACTCTTGGAATCTTTGCCATTTACTGAACAATGTACGAAAGGAGAAGCAGAACTCTTGCGACTGTTATATGATAGCAAACTAAAGAAATATCAAGAACCAAATACAAAACAATCGTCAGTTACATGTAGCGTAATGGGAATTAGCGTTACTGAAAGATTAGCGGACAATTTAGACATGGAAGTTGCAAAAGCTGAGAGATTGTATTATAATTGCGACTATCATCAATGTTTTTCGCTTACGGAGAAGTAAGTATAACATTTCTATCAAGATATATTTATATATATTTTGTCAAGATATATTTATATATATTTATATATATTTTGAAGTAAGTATAACATTTCTATCAAGATATATTTATATATATTTTGTAATAAAATATAACTCGATTTTTCAATGCTTAGAATCCTGAAAAAAGATCCATATCACAATTCCTGTCTTCCAGTGCACATTGCTTGTTTGGTCGAGCTTAAGAAAACTAATGGTAAGTTTATATCTTTTCGCAATAAATGAACAATTATTGCTCTCGAACTTGTTAATAGCGAGACTTTATTCCTTAGCTCTATTTTATCTGGCACACAGATTGGTTGATTTATATCCAGAAATGGCCTTGGCATGGTTTGCGGTTGGATGTTATTATTACACCATAGGTAAGTGATAATAATTTAATAAATATTTTCTAACATTTCTTAATATCATAAAAAATACATTCAAATGATTATGGAAAGATTTTATGAAGTGTATAAATAAAAAAAATATTAAAAAAAGATTACTTAATAACATTTGTTGCGCTGTAGGTAAAAGCGACCAAGCGAGAAGATATTTAGCCAAAGCTACCGCACTGGATAGATTGTTTGGACCTGCTTGGTTGGCATACGGACATTCTTTTGCGGTTGAAAACGAACACGATCAAGCAATGGCTGCTTACTTTAAAGCATCGCAATTAATGAAAGGTTGCCATCTTCCCCTTTTGTATATCGGATTAGAATGTGGTTTAACGAATAATCTAAAACTGGCTGACAAGTTCTTTCAACAAGCTCAAGGAATAGCACCAAACGATCCGTTCGTGATACACGAAATGGGAGTTATATGCTTTTACAATTTAGAGTAAGTATTATAATAGTTTGCTCTCGCACTTATTTATATATATATATATATATATATATATTTAAAAACAAAAATTGCATTTTTGTTTATTTAATTTATCCTACATAAATTATCATGAGATTTATTCTTGTTAAATACAGTTACAAAAATGCAGAACGATTATTTAAGGAGGCAATGAAAAGTATTCAAGGCGATCTAAGGAATGTGATTCTGCCTAGTAAATGGGAAGCGCTACTAAATAACTTGGGCCATACTTGTAGAAAAATGAAAAATATGACGAAGCATTGGAATACCATCAACAAGCGCTAGTCTTAGATCCTCTGAATCCATCGACTTACTCATCGATTGGATTTATTCATGCGCTAATGGGTAATATTCAGGAAGCAGTAGATGCTTTTCACAGAGCGCTCGGTCTTAGAAGAGACGATACGTTTACTGCAACCATGTTGGGTTACGTCATGGAGCAGTTGATTGATGAGGCGCCGCCATATCCTGGTACATATATCAATGAATCGCTTTGTAGGAATGATATATGTTAAGCTAAAAATTTTAATAAAAATTTTGAAAATGAAAATTTTCCAGATGCGCCTACCGAAATACCGAAATATAAATCTGAAAACGAAATCAGATTACCTGAGGAAAGTACAGTTAGAGTATCTACGGAAGACACTGGCAATATAGGCAGCAGTTCGAGTGGTCAAAATATCGATAAGTTAAGAGTAAATCTATTCTCTGGAAGTTGGGGAGAGAATTCCAGCAAGGGAGAAGTTAGCACACCCGGAAAATTGGAACAACAAACGCGTGATGTACTGGTCGTTAATTATTCGAACGGTGATAGTTCTGAAGTTGAAATGTTAGATTCCTCAACCGCACATATAGAGTATAATTAAACTTTTTTTTATCATAATAAAAGCAATAGTGATTTTTTTTAATCGTACAGTACGACCAGTAGCTTGGTTTATATTCAGTCAGCGATAGTCAGTTATATTGAATGTAGTAAGATGAGTGTAAATAGCATGTATATACTTTTTTTTTAATATATACTCTAATTTTGATACATCTTGTAAAATCACGAATTTTTCGCGGTAAGATACGATATTTCGTTAATATCGTATCAATCTGTAAGAATAAATCTGTTAGCTTGAAAAATAAAAAAAGTGTGAAGGCGATTTGAAATAGTCACTTTAAAAATTCGTAGCAATTAATTTTTAGAAAGAGCTTTTTCTTTTATTTGATTTTTACCTCAAATAGATCTTGAGTTTTCATTTCTCTCTTTTCCTAGATGTCTTTCTTTCGTAGAAACGTAGAAACCTACGAAAGAGCATGCGTTTTTCGCAAAGGAGCGTGCGCGAGAGAGGGAGACGGAGGGAAGAAACTGAGATCTTTAGTTGAATCCGCGGCGGGGCGGATAGTAGTGGGTGATACAGCATGTGAGAGAGTGGGCGTTCCGTTTCCGCCGTCGTGTCATCGGCAATAAGCCGAAGAACGGGACCAGGACGATCCTCATTTATCGAGGGAGAAGGCGTGACGGGCGGGCGTTACGCGGGATCCGTTAAAATCTCCCACCGCGATTCCCTTAATCCCGAGAAACCACCCCTCGTTGTCGCCGCCGCCGCCGCCGCCGTTGCCGCCTCCGTCGCTGTCGTCGCCGGTCGCCCGACGTCACTCGCGCGCAACTTCTTGCGGAGTGCGCAGCGCGTGAAGTTGCCGCTTAATCGCGTGTTGTTATTAGTGGCGGACGGAATCGAGTCGGCTCCCACTCGCTCGAGACCGCGCGAGAGTGAGCCGCGTCGAGGTGGATACGACGACATCCCTCCGCATCGCGCACCCTCAAGGCTTCCTCGCGACGGAACCGCCGCCGACGAGACGCTCTCCGTGGACATGCCTACGCTGATGCAACCGGTAAGTCCCGTCGTCGCGTGAGATTATCGAGCAACGGGAGGTCGCGAGATCGCGGCCCGATCGTATCCGATTAACCGTCTGAATTAATCGCCGGCGACCTCGCGGCGACTTTGACAAGGGCCGTCTTTGAGGAAAGATCGACGCAATACTTCCGGTTAGATTTCAAATATTCGCTTCACACGTCATGCGCGCAAATATATATATATAACAAGTGCTAACACATTACACACAGCTATATGTAACGTGTGTGAGAGAGAGAAAAAAATCTTAAAACGAAGTAAGAGAAAAAATTGATAAAATCACGAAGTGTCTAGAAATGTTGGAAGCGGATTACTTTAAATTTGCCGTGCTTGTCGGTCCAGAGAAGAGAGAGGAGAAAGAGAGCATCACTGCTCTCTTTCTCCTCTCTCTCTCTTCTCTGGCGATCACTACCTTCCTGGATTCTTTATTGCGCTACGTCAATGTAAGGAATGTCCTGCGCCGCGTGGAACGTAAATAAACACGGCGGTATGTCGGGGCCATGATACGCACGTACATAGCTACGCAGGTACGAAAATTTCTGTCCGCGCGAATCGACATCCGTAACGCGCCCTCTGAGATATTCCTCCGAAGAAAAAGGACTCGGACTCTCGTCAGGTATCCGCGGAAGAGAGTGAGAGGATCCCGATCCGACGCACTCCGATTGTATGGCGAAAATCGCGCTCTGCTCGAGCAGGGATGAAGCGTAATCGCGGGGTTTTTGATGGTAAACACGTGCCCCGCGGCGATACATCTCGGTCGAATTCCACGAAATTCCGATCGCGATCGGAATGAGGCGTATCCGAGTCATGAGTCGTGTAAATTTCCAACTCGCGTGCTTTCGCCCGCGTATCGTTGACTTCGTTATCGTCGACCTACGGCATACGGCGGCCTATGCTTTCAGATTCCGTTTCTACATTTCGAAGAAAGAAATATCGCGTATATTTCCAAAGATTCATCAGTGATATCAACGTAACATCCACTTTCCGCTTTTCCGACGGTCGGAAAATATTTCCGACGGCGAATTAACGCGCTTACGTAATCGCAGAGTAATTTCTTATTTTTATTTTCTTTACTAATTCGGGACTATAGACGAAATGTGAACGCGGAGGAATGCGTTTGAACGAGTCGAAATCCAGATCGCCGCGGCGCGATTAAGAAAATCCTTGCTGGTTACGCGAGAGACGAAAAGAGCCTTCCTTTCGATTTCGCGTCGCGACGGAGCCGCGGCGACGACGACGTCGGGGATTGATCGAGCGACCGTCCGCAGTAAGTCGGCGATTACTCGCGGTCGGCGTTTCGGCATTCGAAAGCTGAAATTCCGAGAAAAACCGTGGAATGTGTTTTCCGACGGCCCCCCCTCATCCCCTAAAGAATTTTTGCTTTTTTTTGTTGCGAATTCCTCAAACGCGCCGCGTCCTTCAGGAGGCGCTCTGTTTTCGATTTCGTTCGCGCCTCTCGCAGTGGCGCAGTCCGCCGGCGTCGCTCGTACGGATCGCGCGCTGAAGAAACTGACGCCAGACGCGTTCGTGGTGAAACCATCCGGATTTTTTTCACTGACGATCACGAGGATCTCGGAAGAGCACGAGCGCACATCTAACGGACGGAATTGTGAGAACGCTGTTAACATGGGCGATTATTCCGAAGAATTTATTTGAGAATTTTCTGTTTATAAACTGGCTCTGATAGATATATTGAATTACATACGCGATCGCACAATCGCGCGTAATTCGAAATATATCCGTTCTACCCGGCTGAGAGTGGAGAATCCGAG